ATTTGCCCGAAATGCAATAGAGCAAGGACTTTAACAAACTCGATGAACTGTTGTTTTTAGTCTCTATGGTTTAATTGTTATTTGTGTTATTGATATTTGTCTCTTAACGTTTTGGGCCCGCAGTAATTGGTTTCAGGCTGTTGCGAAAACCCAACCATCTCAGTTTATGTCATTGTGTTATGTATGTATATGTGTGTATGTATGTGTATGTTTCTGTACAGTAGTGATGGAAAAGCAATTAAAAAAAATATAGTTCAGAACAAACCTCATATATACAAAGAATGACCAGACTCGAGAATATTGCAGGGACAAAACGAAGATACCAGACATGTGATAAAATTTCATCAAGATCTAAGAATTACAGAATAATTAAAATCTATAATCATGGTACTATCACCACTCGAACCGATTTGACCTCTTGTATAGCTCAGTTAGTAGAGCAGAATGGTCTAGTATCCCAAAGGTCGCGGAACCGTTTGATTCCCACCGTGATCAGGCAAACTTTTCAGCTTGCCCGGTGTGGATGCACACTCAGAGTAACACCACAAACATCTATAATGGTGTTTATTTCACAAGGTGAAAATTATCCTCGGTACAATTTACTGCATAATATAACGGGTGGGGACTAAAAATGTGGACAAATTCCAACACAGCCTTTATTAGTACTACCAGGCAAACGTATAGTGTATGTTACAAATGATGACTGTAAGACAGGATTCGAAAAAATAGGCCAGCATGTGAGCACTGCTCGCAGAAAATGTTAAACAGCTGCAGGAAATTTGTTTGAATGAAGATTTGCTATTGAAAATTTGAAGGAAACCTTAACACCCATGTCCCACTATGGGCGCAATAACGTATGGTTGACAGACATTCCTTGAATTTAAAACCATTGTAAGCCAGAACACTATATTTTTATGCACATGATTTAAGGACAAAAATACCCCATTGGTCTGCAGGAAATTTTTGTCTCCAGGTTTTGCTCCCAGGAAGAAAATTATTTTTTCCTACCCTTCATAAGATTCAATGTTCTTCTTACCTTGGCCAATATCAGTGAACATAAAAGAGCTGTCTAGTCCAGTTAAATATCCTGAAATTGATACAAGCAACCCACTGAATGTCAACACTGTCCAAGGAATGTAGCCAGGATATCCCCTAGGAGGGGCCCAAGCAATTTTACTCTGCGCTACGTCGAATAAATTTGAAAACGTATTTGCATGGACACCCACGCTACCCATGCATACAGTAATACAATGAACAAAGGAGGATGAACATTTAAAGGGGTCCTGATTCCTGAAATCTAGTGAAGGCCCTTCGAAAGCCGGACAAGGGTGCTTCGCCCTAGATTTCTATTTTTCAGGTATAGTTGCAATTTAAGGTAACTGTCTAATAAAACCAGCGGTGCAACTTAACTTTTTTGACCACTTTCCCTCAGTTGGACATGAACATTAGTTGCCCTGAATAAAATTCACTTGCCATCAAACAATGGCCACTGGGGTACCCTGGTAGGGGTATAAATTAAGGGGACTACATATATGTCGACCCACTCTCCCACTACTCTATATGGCTATGTTTCTACTGCGGCAGCCAAAGATCTAGCTTTGGACCACAAAAAAACAAAATTTGAAATCAAGTGCATGCACTATAAAAACATTAATGCCCAGCTTTTTCGTGGCAAGGCAACTTGGCCAATCGGGCAAGCTAGATAAAACAATAAGTTACAGTACACCTCTGAAAACTTTATTTGTACTGCTTTCAATATACCTGTGCACGCATAGACAAGTTTTGCAAATGGAGGATGAACATCGAAAAAAAATGTGCCATTTAAAAAGAAAGTGGTAAAACGACCAAAGTGGACTTCGTCAAATCTAGAAACAAGATGGAAACTAAATTTTATCATCAATGCATCTTTCATACTGTAGATTTCTTCTCATTGAAGCCCAGTTATAATATGAAACATATTCTCAATAATGGCATCCTGTGCTCCCAAAACTTGAGGAATCTATGAAACAAACTGATTACTCACACAACATGTTTAGGAACATCAAGATATCTCATTCTAGTTGCAAATGCCAGAGCTAACAGCAACATTCGAAGTGCTTGTTCTTTCACATCGAATGAGGCACTTGACGTTTCCTTGTCAGCTTGGTCTTTGACCTGCCTAACTTCATTCACATTGTCTTTATTTGTCTCCTAATAAAGAGGAAGTGACATTGTTAACATAGAACAGACCTGTCACCATGCACCAGGGGCGGATCTACTGTGTGGGTGTAGTTCAGCACCATACTAAAAATCTGCTTGACCATACATTTTCTGCTAATTCAAATAGCGATTAGCAGAACTTCTACTAGCCAGGGGTGAAACTAGCCCCTTTTAATTCGGAGGGGTGTCTGCAAGAATTGCCCAAGAGAATTGCCCTGCAAAAACCAATGATGCCCTGCAGCAATTTTTTATCTCTGGCCACTATTTTTCCTAAAAATGTTGGCGAGCGTGGGGGGATTAAGGGTCGAAAAATTAACACATAAACCAGTTAAATTAGGGGTCAAAAATTTTTTTCCGTACAAATTCCTATTAAAACATGGGTGAAACCCTTATTTTTGGACCAATATCTGTAAAATTTAGGTCTATAAATTCTATTCAATTCCCTCTGAAAGCCATGTAAGTTATACGTACTTAACTCAGTCTACATTCTATCATTTAAAATCTTTGATTCGCCCTGCCAATCCAGATGATTCACCCTGCCAATCCAGATGATACGTTTTTTTTTTGTTTTTTTTGGGGGGGTGTCACACACACCCATACCCCCCCCCTCAAGTTTCGCCCCTGCTACTAGCTGTTATGGTGTGTCAATTTCTTGAAACAATATACAGTCAATTTCACAAAACTTTGACCACAAATGTTCCGAATTTCATTGCCAAGTTTGTTGCCAAGTTCAGAAGTTCATATTGGAATAATCACAAGCCAATTTGTAAACAAAGTCCCTGATTGGTCCCTGAAGTAAAAGAAGCCAATCAAATGTGTAGTTTACAAACAGGTTTGTGAATCTCATAACAAACTTTTGAACTTCGCAACAAACTTGCGAACTTCGCAACAAATTTCGTAACATTTGTGGCCAAATTTTTGTGAAATCAACTGCAATTGATCTGTAAGCTCAGAAGAAAATACTCAGAATTCATGCTTTAGTTAAATTTCATGTTTAATATGTAAACAGTGGCGTAGCCAGCCTGACTATTTGCTCCTAACATGCAAATATATCTGTGTTCATAGACTGTAAAAACAATGAATTTCTAAAGAAATGAATAATGATAATGCTTTGATAATGCTTTGGCACTTCCAGGCTGGCTACGCTACTGTATGTAAACATGTTGAGGTTGTTATACAGCCATATTTTCAAATATACTGTACTTTAACAAGTAAATTAACTGTATTGTGCTACGGCAACTGTCTATTAATCAAGTTACAAAAACCAATATAAACTTTATAAACAAAAGATAATGTCAAGTGTAACAGAATGGCAAACATGCAGATTTGGCATTTTCAAATAATGGTAATGTTGGGACAATAACATTGCAGACTGCAGAGGAGAGTGGGCAGTAATGCACCTATCAATGTTTTCCCCCTGAGAGGGGGGGTGCGGGCAACCCAGGGGAATTTTGACATTTTTAAAATTTTGTAGTCAAAATCCCCACTCTTGGGCAAGGAACGGCTGTCAAAATTCCCCAGTACATTCCTAAGATAACAAGGCACACATATGTTTTCCAATGCGAACATACAGTCTATACTGGTTTAAACTTGGTAAAAATTGAGACACTGTGTATAAAATACCTTTTCCGATGAAACTTG